GTAATAGTAGAACTCATAAAACTGGAGAAAGAACACTCTCTAACAACAGTGGCTTAGGCATCTCACCAGTAATGGGCACTAGCTTGAATCGAATGCAGCACTCTGCATTGCACCTCACTCAACGTTAAGCCCGTGTGCCTTTCACCCAGACGGAACTCGTATGCCGTTTAGGTTCTTATGCCCGACTTGGCCGAACTTTTGAGTTCGATGCATTTTAATTGAGGCCTTCGTGTCCGCTGCACTGCCAAGAATGCTTCCGCAAGTGGGCAGTGCCTTTGAACCCGTACTTTTGCTGGGAACTTGACAGCCTTCTGGTCGGTCATACAGAGTCCCAAAAGTCAATTCAGGGGCATGAATCGTATGTGGTCTGAAGAGTGAGGTCAAATGTACGAGTTGTGTCTTCTGATTGATGCAGCTTTCCGGTCCGTATTTCTCCTTGGGACGCACCGGAAACTTCTACCGGCCGAAGGAAGCGCCTTTCGCGTGGGTCGAAAACCAAATGTTCTCTTTGGTATCCAGCTGACATGTGAACACTTCCGAGTTCCTGGGAGACTTCTCTTGGGACCGCACCGTGTGCGTTTGGATCCGAAGGCCTTGTCGCTTGCATGGTTCTCTTTTTGCAAAAGCATGCGGCCGTAATCGGCTGGCCGCTGCCCCTGGGCGATTCGACCGCCCAGATCTTGCCGTGAGCATTGCTGATGCCATTACTGGCTTGTCAATTTTAGATGTCGTACTGGGACTCATGCTACCACGTATGAATCTGTGTCAAGATGGAAAGAGTTGCTCGTCAGAACAATCCTGATCGCGCCGTCCTAAAGTCAGATTTGAATATAGCCCTGATGGTCAACCTTTACGGGCTTTCAGGCCGGTTGGGCTCCATGAGTGTACTAGCTGCGCTTATAGCCAGATGGTAGATGGTGCGTTTTCTTTTGCATTTCGACGAATTCCGTACAGCTATTGTAGTGCTCACTATTCAGCAGAGGGAATGCATCCCCCATTCTCTGTTCTTGGAAGACGTTGAGTGCTGTGTTTCGTACGCAACGTCAAGGGGCACGGTCTACAAATGATACGCGAGATACATTCATCGAAGTTTGGGCACGGTACGCGATTGGTTCTTCCACTTCGGACCAGACCTTCCAGGGGTGGGCCCTGGGGGTTCGAAGCCACTGGTGGATAGATTGAATGTGACCAAGTTCCGTCTACAAGCAAATCGCGTCTGCGAGCTTAAAACAATAAAAAGCATTGTTCTTGCCACGTGCGTCCGACGTGGAAGCAACGAGAACAAAAGACCAAGTTTCACTGCGTCCGTTTCACTAGCAAGATGGGCGCAAGCTGCACAGAAACGTGGCGACGATCGATGCCGTGCATGTGCCGTGACCATTGGCATCATCTCAATCAGCAAATCGTTGAGCCAGTGTTCTTCTAGATCGAACGGCATATCGAGATGATTCGACTTAGTTTTCGATCTATTTAGGCAGTCCGACTTAGCCAGACTTTTTGCATTATGCTTTTCCGTTCCGTTCCGACTTTCCGGTCTGCCGCACTGTCACTTACGTCTCCCGGAAGTGTAGGATTACCTTTCCCGTGCTTTTGATGCAACTTGACAGCCTTCTGGTTGCTCGTGTAGAGAGTGTCACGGCAACAAAATTAGATACCGGCGCCTGGCTGGCATGTGTTGTAAGAACTCTGATACATTGAACGCTTCTCGTATTCTGGTCGACGGGGCTTCCAGTATTCTCTGCAGGGCGCAACTGCCCTTTTGAACACCGGAGAGCCCGTCCGGCGTGGGCCAAAAACCAAGTCCTGTTTATAGTCTCCAGCTTGATCTGTCACATGAGAAACTAATCTTGTCAACGGATTATGCGTTCGTGGATTCAAAGGCCTTGTCAATTCAGCTGTTATGATTCGTTTGCCCCAACCATGCGGCATTGATCGGTGGCACTCTTCTGGGCATTGAATCGACCAGATCGTCCTTCGTCCACTTCTGACGCCATCATCAAAACTTACCTACAGAGCTCGTTGATTACATCTCGAGTTATACAACTTGAGCAATGATTTGTGATGATTCAGGGCGTTTCAACGTTCAATGCTATCATAATCCTAAAAGTAGGTCGGCGCTCCGGATTTTGGGCAGTTCCTTGGCCCATGCTTTTTCTGTCAAGAATTATCTCACTTCCCCACATAATGATTCTGTCTCATAGCCGGCGGTGACGCGATCCGCTTCGTTTGCACTTTCAAATTGTTTTGAGATTGAAGATCGCCCGGGCACAATTCGAGTATCTCTTGCTTTCTCAGCTTCATTCACGATCCTCTGAGGTTCAGAGGAGTCGCACAGTCGTCTGCACACGAAGGTTCGCAACGCTGAACTACTTCAAGAGGGACGTCAGCTCGACGGGCAAGGACGAGGTCTCAGCTGGCACTCGGTTGTCGTAGCCAGTCATCCTTTTCGAGGTTTCGACCAAAGCCCAGTCGTCCCTAACTTAAGCCGGCCTTCTAGCATATGCGGAATCCCTTGATCGAAGTCGCAGAAATTCTCCACATGCTAGAGTGCCTCTTCACGGTGTCAATGAGAATCTAAAAACAGAGTGCTATCAGGCCTGCTGATTGCATCTAACTGATGGTCTATGTATAAGTGTAGGGGAAGCTGTCCGGGCAAGGTTGGGAGTTTTCGAAGTGCCAGGCCAAAAACGGACGGTTACTTAGAGTCGGTAGAGTTGAGTTCTTTCCAACGTCGGCCTATATAACGGCTCGTTTTGAGCCGCGACGGCAGACTATCCACACGAATCTGTTTAATCTCATTTCCCACCGGCCACCTTACATCTCCAAATGGACGTTTTCCGGACAAAGCCCCTCCAATCCTTCTATTAGATTCCTTAAATGTGCGAATCAGCGGCCGGGATTTGACCATGAGGTTCATCTGGGCACCGCCCAGTTGAAGGTTTGAGGTGCTAACATGAAGCCATTCTCCGAATTAAAGTTGCGCTAATGTATTCATATCTCTTGTCCTAGTTAAGGCCGCATGTTTTGTTTCCCGACTTGGATGCACCGCAATAAATGTCGAAGCGTTGGAGGAGCGTACGTGGCACTCCGTCAAGCGATATACTTGATTCGGCACCTTTGGCATCCGCGCCACAGGTTACTGACAGCCTGGGTAGATCCGGTAGGATGGAAGCTTCAGTACGTATTGCAGTCCATACTATCTCCAAAACCAGCAAATTTGACACACGGCTTCTTTGCTGTTGCAGGTTGACTGCCACAGGCATCTCTCTGGGCATTCCTTAGACTAGGGGTAGACTTGAAGCTAGAAACAGGCATGTATACGCGCAAGACTCTCTTTCGAACGGACGCTGCTTAGACAGAAGGCCCCAAATACTCTCTGTCAAATAGGGACCGTTGAGAGAAGCAAAAGTGAAATGATGCTCTTAGCTCAGCTAGGCTGCCGTCCGGCAGCACTGTATTCAACCAGTCAAAGTATACTGAACATTGAATAGCCTGATTCTCACCGGACTGGATATTTCATCGTGATGCATGATCCGTTCAAAACATCTGAGTACGCCTAACATGACTGCGTGATGTCGATCCACTCCCTATATTGAGAGCGACCTTTCGACCACTTAAGCGCAGACTAAGCCGAGAACTTGAGCTCGCTGGCAAGTTGATTGTGGCATTGAATGCTAGCGGGGCAAAGCCTGCGAAACCGCTACTATAGTATATTAGAAGATCCACCAGTATCGAATGAACGCGAGCTGATTGCTTCATTCAATCACGACAAGTGTGGAGGATGCCGCATGATTGTTTGGGATGATCATGACGTACTAAGATGCTCCGGGGCGCCAGCTGTCGATCCCACGTGTTCAGTTTCTTCGGTCGGAACTAGTATTAGAAGCTCGCGTTATGAATATGGTCGCATGACCCCCTTACGATCATGATAGCGGCGATGAATCCTTGATTTACGAGGGGTCAGCGCTGGTCCGTGCGACTAGATGAACACTATCGATGCATGCATGCCAATTGAAGCCGCCCGCCACTGGCCCTGAGCTTCGGGACGCACTCTTCACACTCTTCATCATTGCCAATGATCATCGGCCCAGCCCCGCGTGCAGGGCACTTGATGATGGCTATACGATGTTGCATGGATCCCTGTTGGACAATCGGATGCCGGTCACGGTCTGCAACTTATGATTCGTTATCATGGTGCGCTATGACTTTGAATGCCGAATCTGGGGTGCTCTTCATAACCTACATGCATGGATGCGTTCGTACATGCGCCGACTCGGAGCAAGCCAGGCCGGGCTCTTGCGCGCTGGTCCGACGAGCCGAGAGCCGGCCGGGCCGCCGCGCCGCAGCTGGCGGCGGGCCTGGACCCTCTTCTGCCCGCGCGCGCGCGGGGTCACCATATAGTGACATAAGTGATTGGTGGGAAAACGGCTTGGTCTCGTGACCCAACCTGCCAGTGTTCCCTGGGCTCTAACATGCCAGACCGGCTGTGACTCAGACCTTCTTTTGTCTGTAATGGAGAACGGCGAGGATGCTGTAAGCCCGCTTCCAATTCAATGACGGCCGGTGGCTTGATTGATTCCGATCGAAACACTCTCAGATCTAACTAATCGATTTCAGTCACAGGCAGAAAACCCACTTCGATAGACCAACGAGATTTATTCTTAGTCTGGTTAACATTATTCTACTCAAGCCGGCCGCAAAGGCGGAAAGATTCTAGAAGGCGTCTCTCGTTCGTCAGCAGGCGACTGAACTGTACGTTGAAGACCACCTCGAGAATTGTGATTGTTTGAACAGCATGAGTATTAATCACATTCTCTCAAAAACCGTTCCAAATTAACTCAAGCACACTTTGTATACTACACACTATACAACTGTCTAGCAGCACCGGCTTTCATTTTACCCCGCCATGTCATACACCGGCGTCGGCAGCCCCACGGCACGTGCCTTGAGCTGCAGCGCGAGTATAAGCGATGCGAACCGCGTCTGCGAGAGCGCCCCCGTCATGATCCAGAGCCCTTCCTGCGCCGTCGGTTTCCACACGTTCTCAATTCCCCCTCCCAAGGCCCCTGATCGCCGTCAAGCCCCGAGCCGTAACCCCATACGGAACCCACTTTCGCGGCGACCTCCTGTGACGTCAGCCGCGCCACAGCCTCCGTCACAGCGCCGGAGCCGGTGGCGTACATGATGACGTCAGCGGGGAGCTCCCCGCCGTCCGCGAGGAGAACGGAGCGCGGGCGGATCTGAGCGACGGTTCCGTGGCGGAGCGCCACCTGTTCCGGCGGAAAACGGAAGCGGTGTTTCAACGGTTGCACTAGAACGGCGATCTGCCGTTTTGCGACTTGGAGGGCTTGGAGAAATTTGGCACGTCGACAGCAGGATCTTTGACGGTAGAATGGTCGCCTATCCGATAGTAAGACTGGCAAGAAATGTACGATACTTCGAGCAGCCGAGTACTCAAGTTAGCTCAAACGGGCGGGTAGTCCGGTAAAGGCAGAATGAATAACGGCAAAAATTTCGTACTTCCGTCGATTGTTTTACGCAGCGGTCTTGGCACAAGCATTGATTTACGCGTTGGCATTCGGAACGTGGGCGCGTGTCCAAAGTACGTACTCAGGTTGCGGATTCCATTTGAAGGCAGAAAGCATAAGAGGCCAGCACAAACCCTCACCCGCCCATCGGCTATCAGCTGCGACGCCCCCTTATCGTAGTAATACCCGGCCGCCCGCCGATGGCCCAGACCAATGATTCCGTCCGGCGGAAAGTTTTGGTTTGCATCGTCGCCTCAACCATTGCGAGGATCTGCGACTTGCCCTCCAATGTAATGATGTTTTACGTGAATGCTGCCATGTCGCGCCAGAAGCACGGGTCGCCAAAGCAAGCGAGGACAGCGTCAGCACGCTGGAAGCGCCATTCCAAATCGGGTCAGCCAGGCGGAGACACCCTCGGTAACTGCCGAAGCAGCCATATTTGCTTTGTGGCGGACAGGTTCGGGAGACTAACTAACTTTCAAAAAAGGAACCGCATTGATTGACTGGATGGTGCAGGCTGTGCAGGCTGCACTGAAAATGCTGGCGCTGGCTGCTTCAAATCTAAGCTTCAAACCAATCTGGGCACACCCAAAACCCAATGATTGCATCTTCCCTGATGCATCACATTTGATACATCCAACGACTCCCGGTTAAATCACGGAAGAGAACAATGCGGAGTGATACGCATTGTGTGGTTTGACTTTTGCAGCTCCTTGTTTTCCATTTCCGCACCCGGCCGGGTCCCCCGCCAGCTTCGCATTAATACCTTCTACTTGCGCATTGACTGAATCAGCTGATGTGTCAAGAGGCGGCGCCGCTTTTGGCGGACGCCTGCGAACTGCTCTACCGGGCAGCAGAAAGTCCAGGGAGGTGAGGGAATGCGTGTTTGCGAGAAATACTCTCTAAAATAGTTAAAAAAAAATGCTAAAACATGTAATAGAAACGAGAAGAATACGGCCAGAAGCTTTGGGCCCAACGGGCCAGGTCCTCTGTTTGGAAGTGATGCACGATAGATGTAACCAATTGGGCTTTAAGCTCAGAGTTAAGCAGCTGAGCTTATCACGTCATGATACGTCACAATTAGTAATTACGTAACCATATTACCCAGCTTTTGCAGAAAAACATTGTCTGCAGTTGCGCACCGGCCCCCCGCTGGCAATGCTGGCAGCTATATATGACAATGGATACGGTAGTACAAGTGCTTTCACGGCGGTATTCGCCTTACAAAGACAATGTCATGCGATCCCATGCATCATGAGTAGCTACTTTCTGATTGTTGCGCACTGAGAGCTGAAGACGGCCAAATACGTTACCTACCTGGCATAATCAAGTAGTGGGCATCGCTGGAAGCACTCTTGTGAAAGTGTGGGACAGCAAAGGACCAGTCAAACCGTGTCAACGCATGCCGATACTCAGCCGAGCTTTCGGTGGCACATGCATCAGCAATCTGCTGGGTCGTGACTCGTGCCGTCAATTGACAACCCTTCAATCTCGAGGATATGTCACAAGGAATCACTAACTCAGCAGACGTCTCGGACAGCATGCAAGGAAAGAGAAAAGAAGACATGAAGTTTCATTCTGTACAACAGTAGTTGCTAATAAAGCCTCTCCCGGCGTGCCTATTAGTTCTCAGCTAGCTTTCACCACTTTCAAAGGCCAAGTCAAGGAACCGGGTCTGGGGAGATTGCAAACGTTTCTCCATCAGG